TGAAACAGTTATCGGATCAAGGAGGCTACGAGAGGATACAGATGATACAATAGATTCATATTCCTCTGGAAGTCCCTCAAGGATAACATTCACATGTTCTTTAGTAGAAATTGGCTCACCAATCAAACTCAGATTATCAACAGTTGTTTGAATCCGAAGAAGATATTCTTCAATCGAGCGATCTCCTTTACCAGTATTGTAGAGCTCGGATTTGAGCTGGCGTGCCTTCGCAGTAAGATTTGATTGGAAAAATTTCCGAATCGTACTCCAAAGCTCGTGCGAACGTTGACAATGAATTACGCGAGCATGAAGTGATTCCGATAGAGAGGAAAGAAGCCATGAGAAAAGCATCTGATCTTATTGTTCCCATACAGCATATTCATCGTTGATTGTCCTGGTTCCGTCATCGCCATGGATGAACTGAGCTGGAATCTTCGGATTTTCTACAAATTGCAACAATTTGTGTGCTCGAATGATGGATTTGATATGATGCTTCCAAAGAAGAAAGTTGTTTGAACCAAGTTTGATTGGGAGAGGATGCGTGAATACAGCTGGAAACGTGATATTCCCAGCTGCGGAAGAAGAAGATGTCGTAGAAGTTGAATTTGTCATGGTAGATCGAGCTCAAAGCTCTGATACCATATTAGAAAAGTAGCCAGAATATGAAATGAAGTAGAAGGATTTCATTGATCACATAATACCAGTACATCAGTATTTATAGAGAAGTGGTATAACCAACTTGTAACTGAATCTAAACAGCTTGACTAACTATAACTGGCTAACTGAATACTAAGCTTATTATACAATTCGTAGATATAGTATCTCTAACAGAGCAAAAAAACAGTAGTTTAGTTCTTTAAGAAACTGCACCTGAAAATTAGTTCCATCCCTTACCAAAACTCAACTAGACCTTTTCTAATAGGGGAATAGCTAGGATCGAAGTTTGGGGTGAGCCGATATAAAGAATTGTTTCAAATTAATTCTTAATTACACATATTTTACACTAAAAATATAGAATTTTTAAATTTGGGTGAGTCAGGTCCCGGTTGGCCACCCTCTACCTCTTCCCCTGACACCTAACAATTTATCTCTCTTCTTATTCTTATTAGTCGAGGTTTTCCACTTCAAGGTATTTTTAAAGAGACATTAGATGCACTCTATCATTGACTTACGTAAATGATAAGATTACTTTTATAACATTTTCCTATTAGAAAATATAAGAAATGGAATAAAAAAGTGAGTTTTCCACATTTTTTATTATTAATAATCTAAAAAACAATCTGAATTCAAATTATGACTCTTTTCATGCTTTGCCACTGTTCCAAGTCTATTTGATTACGGATATGTGGTTAATGCATCCAATCTCAGTGTTGAATTTGATAGACTCAAAAGAAAAAAGTTGCTGATTTTGCGATACAAATGGAAAATGAAAAAAGTAATAGGGTTTGCCCAACGGAAAAAAATATTGAAAAGGGTCTTTATCTTGGATCTTTTGGAGCTCCTAAAAATAGAAGTGGACTGAAAAGTTTGAACATCACACATAGATTGATGGTTTCATATTCACTATCCTCTCTAAGCTATTTCTAAATGATTTTGTATTAGGACAAAATTTATGTTGTTCAATTTAATTAGATTTATATTTCTTTAATTAGGATTTAATCAGTGGACCTTTGTAATTAATTAGGGGTCATTTAATTAGACACATATGGCCCATCCTAATGTAACTAGGATGTTTGGCCATCCCTCTACAAACAGAAGGGGAATGGACCGAACATACCGAAGAGAGAAGAGGGTTTCACAATTATATATACTATATGTCCTTTCCGTCAGAGATTTATTACGAGTATGTTATCAGTCCAGTTCATCACAGAATTCTACATGCTCAAGGGGTCTACGTTTTGAGTAATTTGTTTGAGTAATTTGTTTCCTCATTCCGTAAATAGTTATTCGAACATCTAAAGGGTGTTGGCATAGGAAAAGGTTATCATTTTCCTCCATGACCCTCACATTTTTACGCATGGACAACCGTATGTAGCGATAATCTCGACATTTATAAGTCTATCTGAGTTGAATGTTGTATACAAATAAATTTATAATAATTTGTAATTTTCATTGATAGTTTCATGGAATTACACACGCATCTTTTTATCGTATGATGTTTTCCATTTAATTTGTACAATTTATTTCTTAATTTGCTATTAAAATGACATCTTACTTTAAAATTAATTCAATGTCTTGAATTTATTGGATCACTATCAAGCTTTCATTTATTTCCATTAGGCACTTCACTCTCGTGCAACGCACAGATGGAGTAACTATTTCTCTTAATAGGAGTAAATTAAAACATGTCAAAAACATAAAAATAAGAGTTAATATTTAAAATTTCCTAAATATAAGTACATGTTTCTTTCCTAATAACGTTTTAAATTTAATTAAATTTAAAAATTCTAAACTAATTATTTTAATAGATTTTTTTTAAAAAAGTTGATGATATGTTTGCACCATAGTTTTTATGACTAACATAATTATTTTCCCATAAAAAAGACTGGCATAATTATTTGCCAATATTTAAAATATACTAGACTAAATAGCCAATCATATTGAAATAAACTAGTTGCCAAAAAACACATTTTTAAATTGCTTGCTATCATATTTTATACTACGTATTTATTATTTTTAAAACTGACTATGTTAAGACATGTGGTTCCATCCTAAAAGGTCAACCTAATAAGAGGAGTAGCCCAAAGCCTTATATAGTGTTTTATTATTTTATAGCTTTCAGGTGGGAGACAAATGCTTCAACATGTCCCCTCAGCCCGAATCGGGCTGGACAATATCGGGGTGTATAAATGGACCAAACTGACCTGTAACAAACTGCCCGTAATCATGGGTGCTAAACAAGCAATCATACCACAACCGGAATTGACTCTGATATCATGTTAAGACTTGAAGTTTCATCCTAAATGGTCTACCTAATAGAAGGGGTAGCTCAAAGTCTTATATAGTGTTTTGTTATTTTATAGCTCTCTGGTGTGGGACAAATGGTTCAACGGACTAAACTATGGCAAAAATAATATTGTTATTTGATGTTTTATTAACATTTCGCCCACAAAATCACGTGTAATTGCGTTTCATATATATCAATTTACACTCCTCTAATTTATATGCAGTTAAGTTAATCATTTATAATTCAAATAAATTAGGCATAACTATAAATATCATCATGGTCCATTTTTAATAAAATAACTATTATTGGGGGAAACGTAAATTATTTAATGGGGGCAAATCTAAATTTTTTACAAACAAAAAGTTTTTGGTAACTAAATCTAGCTTCATAGTTACTCAAACACTTGCATCCGCGCCCGAGTGTACAGAGTACGGAGTACTCGTATATAATAGGCGGTTGATGCTTCTAGACTCCCTTCCTAGCCGACTGTTCGGTGTAACAAGAAGGCCGAATGGTCCTCTTTTGACTACTCCCTCCGTTCCTAAATAAACTTTCAATTTTCCTTTTTCGTCTGTTCCAATTAAAACTTCCATTTTTCCTTTTTGATAAAGAATTTGTGGTTCACAACATTTCTTACACATTTCTCTCTCCTCTACAGAACTTTCCACCACACAATATCCACTATCTTAAACTTTGTGCCAAATCCATTTGGAAGTTAAAATGGGAACGAAGGTAGTATTATTGTGACACGATCGTCGATTTGTATGCATGTACCAACTAAGTTCTTGTATAATTGTAAAATTTGTAAATTTTGCATTATTCACATGCTTTTTACTTTGATTACATTTTATACCGGAGATAGCAAAACTAGTTTTTTAGTTCGTTTACCTTAGCGAATCCCAAGTACAAATAAAAGATACTCCCTCCGTCCCGCTGAGATTGTCCCATTTTAATTTTTCGGGAAATCCCATTAAGATTGTCTCATATCAAATTTGATAAAGATTGTGTGGCTCTAAATCATTCTTACTTTATTCTTACTTTACCAATTTAATATCAACCACATAAACTCATTTTTCTTAATAATTGTGTCACCTTCTCTCGTCCCAATCTTAGTGGGATGGAGGTAGTATCTCCCAATTAAACTTTGCGATCAGGTGGTCTAAGTACGTAATAATAGAAGAGACATTTGACGATGAGCATGGACTTGTTTAGAGCTAGAGAGAAAATTCTTCGAGCACATTTTGGGCTGTTTATGTTTCTATTGCATGTGCCCGGGTTATAAGTTTTGTATAATTGTGCTCCCGTTAATTATCACATTAGTTTTATTCACATGATCACATCTCCAGTAAACTTGATATCTCTAATACATTCAGCAAATCACTAGGGAATCATCAGTTTTAAACATTTGTTGCAAACTGGGAGTATCCAATAGTTGCAAACATTTGTTCCTCCGTTTGGAAGGGACATATTAATACGCATATAATTTGTACACTTTGGAAGGGAGTATCCAATGTTGGAACATAACTAAGTCTAAGTAGTATAATCACTTTGTACACTTCATTGTTTTGTTATTTTATGTACGCATATAATTTATATACTTACATCTTCAACCATTTGTGGATATAGTTAGGAACTTATATGTCACTGCCAGATAGTTATTTATACTTGTATTAATACATAAAATAAAATATAGTACAATATTTGTTATACAGAGTATATATCTTTATCAAGCTATTATTAATTTATTATCTTCTTTATCTACTACTACTATACCTAATAAAATCCTTTTTCCTTGGCTTTATTTAGCCTCTTGGGCTTCTTGACACATGGCACCATTCATTTTTCCATATTTTGTACATTAAGCCAGATCAATTAACACATTCATATGTTTATTAAAAAGACAATAATGACTTGTTAACATATTTAATTTTTTAAGAGGTCGATCTATCTCTAAGTTATTGCATTCACGCGATAAACATGATTTTTTGAAAGAACACGTGGTACGTAAACATGGTAAACATCATATTTATGTATCTTTTGATCACTATAAGAAGTACTATCAATAGCTTAATCATCATTATCTTTGCTTCATTTATATACATAGCTTAATTAGAGTAATAAGAGACAAGAAGATCTCAAGTGATAGTATTTATGGAAACTGTATCAATGCATACATACATAGCATTGCTTTGATAGTTCAAAGAAATGTCCTCTAGCTCATCAGCCATTTAAGACACATATCAGGGAGAACAAGATTACGTTACATAGAAACATCAAAACTTTATGATAAGATATCACAAGTTGGAATTGCATATTTTCTTAGTTAACACTAATAACCCTCCAAATCAAATAAGTATCTTGTGAAATCTTCTTTGGTATCTTAGATTTGGATGTGGCAATCGAAAGATCTATTGGGTCGTTTCTCTTTCAATAATAATGGGCAGTTCTTGCAATTTCACTTTATCATCTGTTTGATCCTTGCTTTTACCCCACACCACAGAGTAGAGACCAATTACTATGATAAATGCTCCAATCAAACTGCAAGTGTATATCAAAGAAAGAAAACATATACATTATTGTACTACAACATAATCCATGTGTTTCTTCATATATGATCATCATTATTTTTTCTTCCAAAAAACTGATTTATCAATCTAATAGATTTTGTTTTGCTCATTTTATTCTTTCATTACGCCTACATAGACGAGTCTTATTTGTGGTGTAACACCGAGAAGATCTCAAGAGGATCACACGTACTACTCATAATAACAACATATACTTTCTCTCAAAGTAGCACATATGTTAAGAGCCCACTATATATCATCCTTGCACGGGAATAGTCTTAGTCGCTTAGAATGAGTGACCCCGTAAAAAATTTCTCATGGCGAACATAAGTGGAGACAAAGTTTGCAGTAAATGATTATTTTGTTTGTGAAGACAATAGTAGATATGAGGAGTTTATATGAAGAAAGTACCAAGTATCTCGGAGTAACAATCTTAAAAATACGAGGTGCAATATTTATCACAGAGTATTATTTAAACTGCACTTTTAATATTAGGAAACGAGTGGTAAAAACGTACCTTCCCAAATGGACGTTTTCAGCCAAGATGATGGCAGCAAGAATGGCAGTGATGACCATGCTTAATGGACTAAAGGCAGTCACAAAAACAGGCCCACGCTTTCTGTTTACCACACTTTGCACATAGTATGCTATTCCTGAACAAACCACTCCCTGCCAACATTAACCATATAGATATATCAGAATATGCATGATATAAGATGAAGTAATGTAATACTCCCTCCATCCCAAATTGTTTTCAACATTTTTTTGTCAACCAATAAAAAAAGTCAATGCTCCCTATCGAAAACTAGTTCACTTTTAATAATTAAAATTTATATATTCAGAAACTACATTAAAATTTCTTCAAAGTTGTAAACTCCAAATTAGAATATAATTAAAATGTGACATCCTAACAAAACAAATAAAACGAAACTGTTTGACCAGTCAAATTTGCAAATCAATTTGGAACAAGGGTAGTAGGATTCATAAGACCGTCAAATAATAGATTTGAGATGTCATATTCTAGGTATCAAAGTGACATCCCATGTATTACTTATAAAAGTAATACAAGAAAATCATCATAATTAGATTTTCCAACAGAATATAATAAAATTGTCAATTCAACAGATACAATATACTTAAAAAAATCAGATTTTAATTAAAAATCATGTGCAAAAATCTGAAGTTATAACTTTGGCACAACCATTTTTAAACATTGAATCACTTAATTACAAATTCACTTAATATTCAATTATGATGATGTAAAAGCTTACGGAATAAGCAGCAGCTAAGAGCCTTGAATCAAAGCCGATAACCCAAGCACTCATGTCACGTTCCATAACGAGGGCCACAACTCCTCCTTCAACAATGCCCATAAGACACACCCATGCAGCCAATGAGAGCTCGGCTGGGTACTCACTCAATGTCATTGACTACAATATCATAAATCAAAAGTATAGTACTTTAATCAGTTTATAGTTATATTAGTATATACCTAAAGCTCACTTTTACTCTCTAATTTTATGTATTAAAATCTTATTGTATTCATGATCAATTTATGTGATTTCATCAGACTTTTAATGTAGTTTTTAAAATAGTGAATAATAACTTATTTCTAATTGCATTATTACAGGGAGAAAGTAATTTTTTCATTAGTTTAACCTCAACATCTTTACGAAGACTATCATGTTAGAACATAGAAGGAGCGTAGCCAAAGCACTGGAACGGATAAGACCGATACAAAGAATATTTTTGAAAAAATTATTACTAGAGATTTTTTACGCTAAAAAGAAGATACTTTTTGAAGTTAAGGTGGGTCAATGCCTAGGTTACCCCCTAGCTCTGATCTACCAGTTAAAAAAACGATGTTCTATGTGTTAAAATGGTGTGAATTATTATACGAAGTACGAAGACTTATATCGTACACACAAATCCAAGCAATCTTATAGGGAGTATTTTTTGGGTTCCATCTTGTGTTATGATTAATCATGTGCAAAACCTCCTCCAAGAGTACATTTAATTGCCAAAAAAATAAAATTAATTAGTATTTTTATATAATTTAGAAATCTTGACAAATTTAATACTCCGTAGTATATGCAACGATAATATTAATAGAAATTATTCCAAATAGGATAAAAACTATGGCAAAAACTAAAAATATGACTTGCTATGTTTTTTTTTCAAAATAGGACCATATTAGTCCTATTGGAAACATACCTATTTTTTCATTCCATTCTTACCTTTCCTTTAAATATGAGTTAAAAATAGTCAAAAGCCATAATTAAATGTTTAATTCATAATAAATTCGAAAAAAAATCAAAAATTCGTAGAAAAATAACTAAATTTTTTTAAAATATTTGTAAATAAAAAATTCAAAAAAAAATTATTTTTTTTTTAAAAAAATAAATAAAAAATAGTAAAACTCCATAAAAAAATTTAAAAAAATATGGATGTCTTTCACACCACCTGTACTAACTCCCTGCACCACCACTTCCGGACGGTGAAAAAAATGTCATTTTTTCTAAAAACTGTCTTTTTTTCGAATATGCCAAAAAAATGACATATGTCTCTTTGAGAATTTCAACATTTTCATTGTTTTATGAAATAAATATGGCATTCGTAATGAATTTGGCATTTTCCACTGGTGACTGGAGGTGGTGGTGCTGAGGCGGCGGTGAATTTTTTTTTTGAGTTTTTATTTTTTTAATTTTTTTTTTAATTTTTTTTAAAAAAGAAAATTAAATTATTATCGAATATTTTATTAATTTCTAGTATCTTTTACGAATTTTTATTATTTTTTATTATTTTATTATGAATTAAAATATTTCAATAGCTATAAGGGTATATTTGTCCAAGACACACATAATTAGTCATATGAAAACATAGTTTATGTTTTTGTTCTATATGTGCAAACTGAGTGACCTTTAGTCATATTTTGATAATTAACCCTAATATTAAGTCAAGTGATTTTCAAATTGTGAAATTGATTCTTGAAGGGGATTGCGCACACACAAGGAGCATTTTGGCATTTTTTAAATCATGATCCAATGCATCCAAAAATATGATTTGGTGCATGAAACCATATTTTTTCTGACTAGGTCATTAGGAGTGAGTATTACCTATAGTTAACCATCAAAATCCAAATAGGGATTTTGATAAGCATGAAGTATTGGGCTTACTTGAACTATAAAGAAGCCAGCCCAGCCAACAATACAGGAAAGGAGACAGATGGTGCCGGTGACCCAATGCTGAACGCCGGCGGCTCCGGCAGCTTCATCGTGGTGACTTCCGATATGCGCGGAGTGGGGAACCAGAGCAATTGCGGGTCCCTTGTACAAAGTCATCACCATGGCCCCACCCACTGTTATTGCTGTTCCGATCAGTTTTGCCATGCTCGAAACTCTTTTTAGGTTCACCTTTTCCAGCCTAACATTTCAATTAGGGTATCCAAAATAATAATACAACCAATTAGTAGGATCTAGCTAGCTAGATCCATCGAATTGAATCTGAATCATGAGGCATATTCTACGTGGGACCCATGCATGCATGCTTTTTACGTCTGGCTTATACACTACGTAGAAAACTGAAATTCTACCAAATTAAGTGTATCTTGAATTATGATATGATGATTGGATAGGAGATGGAGTGGAAAACAATAGCTTAGCTTGGAGAGCATTATTTTGTTCTACACCGCCCACTTACATCATACTTGATTGATACCGATCTCTCAAGTAACTTCTTTTTCTATTAAACGCATATTCTTTCTTGTCCATATGTGTTACTTAGTAAGGAGTATTTTCTACTCGTTTTCTCCTTTACAATTTTGTTATTCTTTCCAAAAACATTCATATAATATTCATTTTAATCAATTAATTTGTAGTTTCTATTTTATCTCTTTCTTCTGCATAAATTATAACTATGCAATTTTTTGTTTATTTGTATCTATATCGATCAAAATTGGTAAAGTTAGGAGCAAATTTCCTAAATAGAACTAAAACAATGCTAATGTTCATCAATAGGACTATCATTGTTTTATTCCCAAAATAAAACTCATTCACTCCTGTTTAAAAAGTTTTTATCAACTTATTATTTTAATAGGACTAACTAAGTCTTAATTGGAGGATAAAACATATGTAGTCCTATTTTTGCACTTTTGTATATTTTGATCCTATATTGAGTCATTTTTATAAAGGTCTATAAGGGATCGAGAGAGTATATTAAGTCTAGAAAGATAAAATTGTATGTCTTGTGAATCATGCACATCCTCTTTGTAAAATACTCGTAACTTTTTACAAAGACTACTAGGGGTACATTTTGCACGGTGATATACCATTTTGCGAAAAGAATTGCATTGGTGGTTTAGGATTATTATTCAATAAAATCCGATTAAATATTTATTGAACTAATAACAACCATAACAAAAAAAAAATAATGGACGAGGAAATTTTAAAGTTACTCGGGTATACATGAAGATTGTAGTAGCTCCAATAATATACCTGAAAATGACTGCAAGGATAAAGGTAATAGCTGGCAAAACGTTGACGAAAGCAGATGCGTAAGTTGCGGTTGTACTTTTCAGCCCCACGTAGTACAAGTTTTGGTCTATCACAGGTCTGAAAATTCCAAATCCAAATTCAAGAACTTTAAACAAACTTAGGATGGATTAAAACAATTAAACAATCATATATATACAATCGCATCTACCCAGTGGCGGAACCAGGACTCATGACTCGCAGGGGTACAATAACAAAGAAATGATATACTAGTCTAGAAAAAAATCATATGCATCACGAGTATAGCAATAAACAAAACTATAAAATTTAAATAAAACCACTGTTTTTGGAATAATCTGTTGCACCCATTAAAATCACTTTGTGGAAATTTAAAGTCACGTGGTTGGCAAGGACCTTTTCTCAAATAACCTCTCCTCAACTCATTTCTAATATTGACATCATAAGTCTCAATCGGCATAACTTTTCTGTCCAGCACTTTTCTGTTCGAACGCCGTCCGAACACCAGCGTTTGGGGCGGTTCCCGGCGGAATATTTTGATGAAAATTTTTGAGCATGTTCCTCATCAAATCTAGTTTATCCATACTAAACTTCAGCTCAAAATTCGATCGGGAAGGCAGTCAAATAATTCGTTGAAGTTAACTGCGCCAAATTATACATAGAAAAACGCAGTTAACTTCAACGAATTATTTGACTGCCTTCCGGGTCGAATTTTGACCTGAAATTTGGTATAGATGAACTCGACTTGATGAGGAACATGCTCAAAAACTTTCATCAAAAAAATCTACCTGGAACCGCCCCAAACGACAGTGTTCGGACGGCGTTCGGACTGGGAGGTGCTGGACCTGAGAATTTTCCAATATTTTACAAAAACATTCTTTGTATTGGCACAGACAGACCAAGTGTTCTAGCTCTGCCCCTGTTGAAAAAGACGCAATCTTTTGAGATTATTAAAAATAATAATTATGTGGCAATAATTAAAATGCAAGAATCAGAAAAAAATCTGGAGGTATGGATTGCGTAGTGATTAGCCAACGATTAACTCGTGCAGATGAGTATTTATATTTCAGGTGCAATTGGGGATAGATATATTAATTAAAGGTGACAACTCCGTTACCCATTTAAAAAAATGAGGTACCGTACCTACTACTCACTTGATTGGTTCAAATCGTTACATCATTTTTAATTTAGATTTAAATAATTCAACTACATCATTCTGATTGGTCCATGTAGACAAAGGTACGTTATGTTAAGGGTACCATACAATCTACCTTAATTAAAATGTAAGGAGAAACCATTTGAATATTAGACGACTGTACTAATCATGCCGACGTAAAAAATTAGTCCCATATCCTTTTATTCTGTGTCAAATAATATGTTGTCGACGTCAAAAATATTTATATATATACCTTAGCTTTCTGATATCTTGTATGATTGTATATGCTACTAATCACTCTTTAGAAAAAGGAACCGCTTTTATAAGCAACAGCAAGAAACAAAACTACTTTAAGCATTGTTGTTAATTACAAAATATAACAAGTTTTCCAAATAAGTTTTCCGAATATAACAATTATTCCGTATTATTTTTCCTAGTTACATAAAAATATTGGTCTAATTTTAGGCGGCTGTAAACTTGAGTTATTGTGAGGAAATGTGGAAGTTTGATTACTTTTGAGTGACATTCATGTGAACACGTATTCATTCACATATGATTTCTAATCGCACGTCTGATTTCTTTATCACATGCCTTTTTGCCATATTGTAAATATTTACAAAAGTATCTTTCTATGTACTGAAATAACTAATGATTTTTTATGAGAAAATGATTAACGCACTTAAGGAGAAAATTTGGTTAATCATACTTAAAATGGCATTGTATTTTAGTCATATCAATGAAGTTTTCAGTTTGATGTATATGGATCTAGCTAGGTCGCCAAGATATCAATTATTGGTAGCATGCACCATACTCAAACGTACACCATCTTTATAATCTTTTTGTTTTTTTCAATAGATATGAGCAATAATGCACGCAACAAAATATGGTGTTTATTTTTGCAACTACCTTTCAAAGGAGTAGCTTTTTAAGGGCTGCCATTTTAATTGTTATGGAGAAAAGATCGTATACTAAGCTATTGGGATTCAAGTCTTTATTTTGTACGAAAACATACCAAATTTATTGAGTTATGTAGGCAATTGTGCTCTCCATATATATTGTGCGCACGAAGTATCATTATTTCTATCCCATTTGTAAAAACAATTTTTCTTAATCAACACAGTTTCATATTATTTACTTATTTAATATAGTGATGCGTATATTCTCGTCAAACCAACTTCATTTTAGGCATGAGGTTTATAATCCATTTTATTTACTTATTTAATATAGTGATGCTTATTTAATTTTTTGTAGAAACCTATCTACTAGTAGGCATCTCACTCTAATATCTTTTTACTATGCCACTAGATAATAAAGGTAAGGGAAATTACCCTAAATAGGACTAAAAACGTTTGTGTATTACAAAATATGACTATCATGTTTTTTATTATTCCCAAAATAGAACTAATTACTGTCATGTTTTGGCAGTACCAAACTTTAAACATGTCAGTATTTTCCAAACTTAGCAGTAATTACTCCTATTTTACGAATAAAAACATGGTAGTTCGATCTATTTTGGAATTTTCAATCTTTTTTATTCCTATTTCGGGAATTTTCCGTAAAGGTAATAACACTTACTCAAGAATTCCAAGTGCTATGATCTTGAGAAATACCCGGAGTGTCATTTTCGGCCTTGTTTTCCTGTATTTTGATAAAATAATTAAAGAAATCAAATGGTGAACTACACATCAATGAAATGTTTAATTGTTCCAAGTACAACCGTATCAAGGGATCAAATATAAATATGATTATAAAATTGATCAACAGAACGGTTTTATCAATAGAAGTATAGAACCATATCATGACATCATCTCAATGTTTCATCACTTTTAATTTGATCATAATTTTCCTTATAGTTTATACGTAGTAGAATAGTAGTTAATATGCATCATGCATGCATTAATTGAAGGCTAAAGGGTCAAATAGGTACATGAACTAATTTAAAGTGTTCAATTAGACCCTTATATAGGAGGTTCTGCACGGACGTCGTCAATTGGAGCGGTTTCTGGTGGAATGTTTTGATGAATTTTTTTGAGCATCTTCTTCATTAAGTCTAGTTTACCCATACCAAATTTCAGCTAAAAATTCAACTGGGAAGGCAGTGAAATGATTTTTTGAAGATAACTGTGCAGTGAAAAAGTGCAGTACATTTTGGAAAATCATTTGACTGCCTTCCCGATTTAAGTTTTAGCTGAAATTTGATATGAGTAAACTAGACTTAATGAAGAACATGCTGAAAAACTTTCATCAAAAAATTCCACCGATAACATCCCTAATTGGTGACGGCCAGGCAGAACCTTCTATATAAGGGTCTAATTGAACACTTTAAGTTAGTTCATGTACCTATTTGAGCCTTTAGCCTTAATTGAACTAAGTGATTCCGGTTAGGATTTTCAAAACAACGAGTTTGTAATCCTTTGTGTTTAATGGTTTTATATCTTGAATTGATAGACGATTAAATGTCGTTAAACTAAAAACACTTGTTCATGAAAAGATTATTTTAAAGATAAAATGACTTTCCATAGCCACTAAAAACAGATCTATTTTTATATTTAAAGTTTCAATTTTGCACGGAGTAGTACGTAAATATTATTTTGGCCATTTTATAATCATATATGGATGGGGTTGGTTCCATTCTATTCGTAAAACTCCAGTCTCTATTTATAGCAACATCATACGTAGTTTTAATCAATTTATTATATTATTATGTCGATACATTTAACGTGCACACCAATACTTCATAGTACAATGATTAAAAAAGCATACCATGACTATAAAGTTTATCATTATTGAGTTGACTGAATCACAATGATTTACAAAATTTTATATGCTTTATATATCGGGGGTCACGGAGTGGGTGTCCTTGGGGTTGGGGATTAAACCTATTTGGAGGAATGATGTAGGGTGCCCTTGGAATGGGGAATTCAACATTTTTGGAGGAATGATTAAAAACATCGTATGGATTGTAATCTTATACTAGAGTAAAATATATGGGAGAACTACGGTACCCATTTACAAATGGGGTATCATACATATGATTCACTTGATTGCGGTCTAAATCATTATAACATTTTTAATTGGGAAATTTTGAATTTGCACCACACTTTTAAGGTGATATTGAATTTTGCACCTCATTTTTAACACTTTTAGACTTTGCACCCTATCATACAACATTTTGTGAAGAAAAAGCGAGATGCAAAATTAAAATACCTCTTTTTAATTTATATTTAATAATTCAAGTACAATATTGGTTGATGTGGACAAATGTATAATAGGTCGTATCATAATAATCCTCCAAAATAGAATACTCCGTACTGTATCATATTATCATCCATTCAAATGAATTCTTTGTTACGTCACTTTGCATTTAATAACGCAACATTTTCGGTAAATAACAATATATTATATGTGCATGAATCTATATCACTCAAAAAGAATGTGAATGCGGCACCTTTGCATATAAAATTTTGAAGGACATCGCATATACGACAAAAGAATTAATTTTATGTAGCAAACATACGAGAAGCAATATATAGATAGGGTAAAACGTCACTCATTGAAATTTTAAAACGTAAAAGCGAGATATTTTTCAAGTATTACTCCATAAAAATAAGAATGCCATGCAAGGTTATATATGTGTTACATAGTATTTTCTTTTTCCCAAATTAATTTGTATTTGGTATTCTAAGATTGAATATAGATAAAATCAAATCCTCCTTCTATATATAATTAAATTAATAATAATTACAATTTACTTATTCGATCATTAAATTGAAAGTTTTATAAAGTTCTAAATAAGTAAATAAAAAATCAAACGATTTTGTTTCAAAAAATAGGTTTTGCAAATTATTTTAAGACCACGGAAGTGTAAATGTATTCTATTTTCAAAAAAATTATTTTTCAAAACAACACTTATTGACACCACAATTTTGAACGCTTGACATGTTTTATTTCCTCTAACATTCATGTCCATTATGTAAGAAATCGCGACAAGAACTTCTCCCTGGTTGTGTCTATCATTTAAAAGTGTTATTTTTGATGTTATTTGAAGAATTTTCTCATGAACTAATACTACCACTCCTTGGTATAAGCCAGCATCACGATAACAAAAATAACGGGAGCGACAAAAATAACGGGAGTGAATCCGTGTCAAATCCTCTATGTATTTTGGTGAATTTGTGTCAAAAATCTCCGTTATTCGCGTATATTTTTCAGAGAAACTAAGATAGAGAGGCCTAGGAAGAGGACCTACCGTTCAATAATAAGAGCAAAAGGGGCAACGGCAACAAATGCCACGGCGTGACGATAAACAACAAGGATCCAATGGCTCATTCCGCGTTTGAGGCAAATCATGGTGATTATGTACATCCCAGCATATCCAAACTGGAGTGACACCATTGCCAAGTATGGTTTAATCTTTGCCATAAAGAGGCTAAGTTCTGAGCAAAGATCTTTCCCCATTCTGAGTGAATCTCTATGTGTAATTAATTGAGGTTTTATGTCCTGTAGTTTTTTTGTGTAAGATATAGGAACCTATGAGTCTTGATAGATGAGATTGAGATGAGCTAAGAAAATTTGGAAGTGATGTCTTCTTATAGACAACCTCCGACCCCAAGCTGAGGAATAATAATTGAGATGAAGCTTGTAGTCTTACTCATTCGTGCACTAACAAAATTGTGTCTTAGCTAGTAGTATATTCAAAGAAGAGTGGACCCCTATTATACTACTCTTTTTGGTCAAAAAGATAATAGTTACATACTTTTTATATAATACTCCGTATAGGATTCGTCATTCTGTTGAATCATTCAAGAGAAATTGAATCTTTTCCGTTTACTAAAGGCTTGAATATTTTAAGCCCAGTATCTTTGTTTTAGATCGTTTCATTTTTTATTTTTGATCTTTATGATCATGTTTGATTTTTTTCTTTTTATCTATCACTGCTTTTAGCAACGCATGTATATGTAATGTGACGATGAAACTAACAGGATTAATAAATTTTCTTTCTCTCTGTCATTTCGATTTAGAAATGGAAAATTTTCCGGGATAAGACCAAATCATACTCCCTCCGTCCCAAATCGTGTTGGGGAAATTTCTTCTCTATTGCAACAAGCAACCCACAAACTGGTTCTTCTCGTTCCGACTTATATATAGTCGAATGGCTCGTTATATCCTGGGGAACGGACACCAAATTTAAAGTCTCATTCCCGTTAATCCAACATATTTTCAAAATTATCTTTACTTGAAAAATAAATTGTTTATTTGAAATAATTTCCAACAATTCGTCACTAATACATTTTTAGACCTAACGTAACATTAAAGATGTAACATATCTATAAAGTGTTACATATTTCTCTAATGTAACACTACTTAGACATACTGTAACACTTTCTAGAAGTATAAGTGTTACATTAGGTACCATAAAGTGTTACAATAGATCAAATGCAACATGAACAAATGTAATGGTAAAAAAGTGTTACATTTTCTTTAATGTAACACTTTTCAGTGATTTTGTAACAGTTTTGGGCGATACATTAGGGGTTGAAATGTTGTATTGCGTTTTGCAAAGTCAACAATTTTTTGTCAATCAATAATAAAAGTGAATCCTCCATGTCGATAATTAAATCAATTTTTAATAATTAAAATTTATATATTCAGAAACTACAATAAAATCTCTTCAAAGTTGTAATCTCCAAATTAGAATATAATTAAAAGTTGACATCCTAATTAACCAAATAAAGTGAAACTATTTGACCAAGAAAAGTAAAATTTCCATATCAATTTGGGACGAAGGTAGTATATATGAGTTTCCCTAAATATTACTATCAATGTTTGTAGACATTCATATGACTGAAAGGTAAAAATAAAAATTCGTTCATATTAAATTGTTAAATGACCAAAATACCCTTATTTAAAAAAATAGAGTTTTATACTACTTTCATCAATTAAAAATACTACATTTAATACTGCAGTTAGTGCACAACATTATTGCACATCCGGCAAGAATTATTGAACTTCCGCAAACATTAATTCTGTTCTTATCCACGTTAAGAATTTATTTATTGTTCTTTTTTATATTTATTTTTACGTGTAATATCTTTAAATTAGTATTTTACGTCCAGTTAAATATATTACATCTCGTGCAGTTGTTATTGCTCTCTTTTGCCTTTGATTCACTGTATAAGACACATAATGAAGAGAAAAGGATGGATTTACGGGAGTTTCATGCGTCCATTCCCAAAATACGAATGTCAGAATTAGGGTATGAATTTACGGGAAACGGAGTTGGCTAATCCGACTTTTCCTAGGTTTTTGGATGAGTTTCTAAGTTGGACGCAAAGGCAAGTCAGAGCTGTCAGAATCTCTTTTTTCGGATTCTCCTAATCCGACTTTGGGTTTTATTTTGGGTGAGAAAACGGATTTGGTGAATCCGAAATTTTCAAACCCAAATAAAAGGAAAATCGGATGTCAGGAGTGTAAGTAATGCAGCCATATTGTCAGGAGTACTGTGGCAATGAAATTCGGATTTCACTAATCCGAAATTTGAAGCCTCCCGGATTGGCCAGAACAAACTTACCCGGATCGTGCTTCTTCAGTTCATTTTTCAACCGTAGGATTTAACAAACTCATCCCAATTGTCCACTGTTTTGCATGGAAATCCATACTCCCAATCTCAAACTTAACCTATTTAAATCACTTCAACATCATATTCACCCTAGTACGATAAAAATAAATTTAGTTACAAAAAACTATTGAGTGTTCTTGCTAATTCTATTCTCCGAGTTTTTCAAAGAAAGGTTAGAATTTTAATTATATATTTACTCTTTACCGTTAATTTTTTGTACTGGTTGTGTTATGTCAGCCTGAATATTTCGAAAATCTTAATATTAATATGTAATTAATCTTAATTGCTATTAAGATTGTTGATATATGTCATACTAAATATATAACAATAGAAATAATTAGCCCACAACTTATAATTATTTGTAGTGTTTCCTTGACAGTAGTTAATTTATGTTGATAATGTAAGCACATTTACTGTTTTTCAATTACTCTAATTATTGGTTCACTAATATTTGTTACTAATCTATTAAATACTCCCCCGTCCCATAAAATTCTTCCCACTTTTTTTTGGACCGTCCCAAAAAATTCTTCCCACTTACCATTTTTGGACAATTTGTGTGGTTCACATTTATTTGATCTTTTTCTTACACAACTACAACCACACATTTCCACTTTATTCCACTTTCTTAATCTCCGTGTCAAGTTAAAGTGGGAATAATTTTCTAGGACAGAGGGAGTAATAAATTAGTGTATATGGTAATTTGAGACTACGTTGCTATTACAATTTAAATTTAGTTTAGTTAGTTGAACATTTTAATTTAGTCATCACTACTTATTTCCAAATAACATTATACTACGTAATATAATTTAGTTCATACTCCGTAACATTTATTATAATTGAGCCATAAAAGCAAACATAAATTATAATTACACTATACTGGTAAAATTTTCACAAGCTCGTCTAGAACTAGTCCTTTTCTAGTTTCTGGCAAATGTTATGTCTAGAAGTAGTCCTTTTCTAGTTTCTGGCACAGTGAGAATATTACTCAATGACAAGTCTAAAATTTGTATCGGTACATATAATATAATTGCACTATACTGGTACGATTTTCACAAGCTCGTCTAGAACTAGTCCTTTTCTAGTTTCTGGCAAATGTTATGTCTAGAACTAGTCCTTTTCTAGTTTCTGGCACAGTGAGAATATTACTCAGTGACAAGTCTAAAATTTGTATCGGTACATATAATATAATTGCAATATACTGGTACGATTTTCACAAGCTCGTCTAGAACTAGTCCTTTTCTAGTTTCTGGCAAACGTTTTGTCTAGAACTAGTCCTTTTCTAGTTTCTGGCACAGTGAGAATATTACTCATTGGCAAGTCTAAAATTTGTATGGGAACATATAATATAATTGCACTATACTGGTACAATTTTAACAAACTCGTCTAGAACTAGTCCTTTTCTAGTTTCTAGCACGGTGGTAATATTGTTCAGTGGATAAGCCCAATATCAACCGTACATATATTATAATGTAATACATAAGATTGATATAGTTTCATTGAAAGTTTATGTGTAATTTATAATTTCATTTAATAAAACACGTCATTATAATATACACACACACACATATATAACACTAATATATGATTCTTATTGTCAGTTGAGATATGAATGGCTGCACAAATACCACTTATGGACCCGGTTGATCGGTCTGTGCTGGTGATGCCACGTTACGCGCATCGCGCGGACCTTGTCTGGAATGATGCTACATCCATGGATGACAAGTTGAGGTGTAATGTATATTGTTCAATGGTGTACAAAGACGGCCCGCGTCACCCAGGAGTGGTAGCGTTGCTGAAGGCCTCCGGCTTTTACGGCGTCGACTGTATCGGAAGGTTGCAGTTAGACTGGTCGCTTATTACGACGTTGGTTGAGCGATGGAGACCAGAGACACACGCTTTTCATTTGCCTTTTGGTGAGGTGGGCATCACCTTACAGGACGTAGAAGTGTTGTTGGGGTTGCCCATCGACGGAGAACCACTGTCCGGACCTAGGACGAACTCGAAAGCGCTTTGGATGCAAATGTGCACGGACTTCGCCGGTTTCACGCCAAACAACAACGACCTAAACACATCTGTAATAAGAATGAATGCCCTACAACGTTGGTCGGTACATCAGCACAGCACAAATGAGGAACTCATCACATACACGAGGGTGATCATTTCATCATGTGTTTTGGGCTTTTAAAGCTTCCATTGATGGGTTTGAACACTGTATGTCCGTAGTATCTGTTGAAGGTACTCACTTGTACGGAAAGTTCAAGGGCCATCTCCTGGTTGCAGTCGCCATGAATGCCAACCGTGAGATTTTCCCTCTCGCGTACGCAGTTGTGGAAAGTGAAAACACAAGTAGTTGGTCCTGGTTTTTGGAACACATTATGACTTATGTTGTCAGACCAAATAGGCATGTGTGCATAATATCAGGTCGACACCCTGGCATCCTAAGTGCCTATCAATCAGTACCTCAATTGAAAACCTCCCAAGTTTCGAAGCGGTTCTGCCTCCGACATATTAGAAGCAATTTCATGACAAAATTCAGGAGCACTGAACTGAAAAAGCTCCATTGGCAGGCCGGAAGTACACCCATGGTGAGTGAATTTTACCAAACAATGGCTCAAATTCGTGCTACGAATGAGAATGCGTTCACGTATTTGAACGCTATTCCACGTGAAAATTGGGCACCGTGCTTCGACGATGGACGACGTTACGGCATCCTCACAACAAATCTTTCTGAGAGCTTCAATAACGTTCTAAAGGGATGTCGAACACTTCCAATCACCGTGCTGGTTAAGGCAACTTATAACAAAGTTGTCCAACTATTTTTCGATCGACATAGGGCCGGTCAGATGTGGCGGCAAGCTGGGTTCCTATATCCGCAAAATATATGGAAAGATATTCTTGAACGTTCGCAGAAAAGACATTAGTGCACTATTGTCCCGCATAACCGAACAAAGGGAATATACTCTGTTTCCATCCGTGATTATTTGCCGGTAACGGTAAATCTCTCACGTTGCGAATGTGATTGCGGTTTTTGGAAGCAAAAT